AATGAAAAATAAGCATATAATAAGACAATCCACATCTTATGTTATTCGGGAACTGCAAATTTAAAAAACGATGAGATACCACTACACACCTATTATATGGGCCAAAATCCAGAACACTGACACCACCAATACTGGCAAGGGTGTAGAACAGGATCTCTCATCGCTGGTGGGAAGGCAAAATGATAAGCCACTTTGGAAGACAGTCTGGCAGCCTTACAAAACTAAATATACTTTAAACATCCTATCCAGCAATTTCAACCCAAAGAAATTGAAAACTTATGTCCACAAAAAACCTGCACACAAACGCTGACAACAGCTTTATTCGTAATTGCCAAAACTTGGAAGTAATCAAGATGTACCTCAGTAGGTGAATGAACGAATAAAATGTGGTAAAAAGAAATGATCTACCAAGCCATGAAAAGACATCTAAACGTAAATTACTAAGAAAAAGAGGCAATCTTAAAAGGCTACATGGTGTATGATTCCAACTACATGACATTCTGGAAAAAGCGATCTAAAAAGATAGTAAAAAAAATCAGTGGTTGCCAGGGGACAGGAGAGGAAAAAGACGTGAACAGGGAGAGCCCAGAGGATTTTTAGGGCAGTGAAAATACTCTGTAGGATATTATAATGATGGATATATGTTGTTATACACTTGTCAAAACCCACAGAATGTACAACACCAAGAGTGGATCCTAATGTAAACTATGAACTTTGAGATATTATGATATGTCAATGTAGTTTATCCTTGGTAACAAATGTACCATCATAGTGAGTGATTTTGATAATGTGGGAGGCTACGCATGTGTGGTGGCAGAGGGTGTAAAGGAAGTCTCTGTATCTTCCTTTCGATTTGTTGTGAACTCAAATCTGCTCTAAATAATAATAACAACAATAATGATAATGACGATAATATATCAAGATTAAGTAGGCCTTAGCCCAAGGACACAAGAAAGCTTCGGTGTTAGGATATATTTTCATGAAATAAACAGAAAAAAAAAATAGTATTATATTATAGCAGATAAAAAGCCATTTGACAACAGTAAAAGTAAAATGACTCAGTAAAAGAACCAGACACTTGTTTAACCTTATAAAATAGGTTTCAAACTCAAAGACATTATACTATGAATAAACACAAGCATTCCCACTCAAATCAGGAACAAGATAAGAATCCTTAAAACTATTACTACAATTTAAAATTGTACTCGTGTGTAACTAAATTAGGCAAGAGAAAAACTGATGTAAAAAATATCTAAACTATGTCTATTTATATGACTGAATACCTAGAAAATCCAAGAAAATCAACTGAAAAATTATTACACAGTAACAAAATACAGCAAGAGTTTGATAAAGTTAGTATACCAAAGTCAACAGCTTTAAAAACTCATTTTGAATAAAAAACACCTGCTAAAGTCCCGTAGCTAACATCATACTTAGATAAAAAACAAAATTTCCCTGCCCAAAGATAAAGAACAAACAAGGCTGTTCATTCTACTTCTATTCAACATTAAATGAGAGGTTCCAGACTATAAAATAAGGCCAAAAAAGAAAAAAAAAGAAGAAAGGAAAAGGAAAAGGAAAAGGAAAAGGAAAAGGAAAAGGAAGGAAGGAAGGAAGGCAGGCAGGCAGGCAGGAAAGAAGGCAGGCAGGCAGGCAGGCAGGAAGGAAGGGAGACAGGAAGGAAGGAAGGAAGGAAGGAAAGAAGGCAGGCTGGCAGGCAGGCAGGCAGGAAGGGAGAGAGAAAGAAAGAAAGAAAGAAAAGGAATCCAGATTGGAAAGAAAAAAGTAAAAGTGCCCTATGTTTGCATATAATAAGTGAGATAAAAGATATAAGATCAATATACAGAAAATCAATGTATCTCTATCTCTATATATTACTAACAATTAGAGTTAAAATTTTTAAATGTTATTTACAATAGTATCAAAAAGTATGAAATAAATCTGCAAAAAGTCAGGTGAGTAAAACCTGATACTTAGAACTACAATAATTTCTGGGAGAAAATAAAGAAAATAAAAGAACATACCAGGTTGATAAACTGAAAAATGGGACATTGTAAAGATGTCAATTCTCTACCTAAATTGACCTATGTATTCAACACAACTACAATCCAATTCCTAGCAAGCTTTTTTGTAGAAATTGGCAGATGACTCTAAAACTCATATGAAAATGCAAAGACTAGAATAGGCCGAAACAACTTCAAAAAAGCAGCATAAAGTTTTTTGTAGAAATTGGCAGATGACTCTAAAACTCATATGAAAATGCAAAGGACTAGAATAGCCGAAACAACTTCAAAAAAGCAGCATAAAGTTGGAAGACTAAGTCTGATTTCAAGATTTATATAAACAAAAGTAATCAAGATAGCATGGTACCTGTGTAAAGATAAACAATTAGATGAAAGAAATATAAGTCTATCAATAGACCCAGACATATATGACAATTTATTTTTCATAAAGTTGCAAAAAAACTCAGTGAAAAAAGGAGGATCTTCCTTCAATAATTGGTATAAAAACAACTGGATATCTATATGTAAAATAAACAAACAAAAACCTATCAATAAGCTTAAAACAACTCAAATTTCTATAACTATGAAATAGTTAAATTATAGTATGCTGATAAAATGGAAATTTGTGCATATGATAATAAAAAGAATTAGGGCAATCTGTATGTACCACTATTAGGGCCAGGGGACCCAATATATATTGCTATTAAAAACAAAACAAGGTGTAAAACAGTGTTAAGAATCACCTCTTAGGTAAAAGTGGTAAGAATATAAATAAATATAGTTGCTTATGTATGCACAAAGACATTCTGATGGATACACTAAATACTTATAGCATTGGCTACTCTTCTGAGAAGATAATAAAATGGATAGGAAACTTTCAGAGAAACTATTAGCTGTGTCACTTCTAAAATTTTGTTAACCATATTTAATCTATTAAAATAATTCTTTTCCAATTAGCCTTCAAATTGGAAATGCAAATAAAATTGTAAACTGAGAAATTGCTACTTGTTATTATTATTTTGAATGCTGTATTCTAACTATGTATATTAAGATAAAAACTGAACAATTCATTATCCCTGCACTGTGTTTGATAGATTAAATTAGACAAAATGAAGAGGTTGTTAGCAGAGCTATACTAATAAAGTCGTAAAATCAAAGTTATCTTGAAGATTTTTATAGATATACAGAAATGAAATTCTATTATTTTCTATGAAAAAGTATACATTTTTCCATAGCTGTAAATTTTGTTTAAAACCAGATAAACACTAGCCCTCCTCATAAAAATGATATATACTTCTCTGACAAATGTTTTATCACTCATAATATCACTATTTTACTATACTCATTAGCCAAGATAAAAATAATAAGAATCTCTACAGCAATAATCTATCAACTGTAGCTACTATCCTGTATCTGGTGCTACTATAGTCTTGCCCTTTAAACCAACTCTGCTACAAAATATGCTTTCTTTCTGTATTCTACAACCAAAAACAATTTCAAGAGAAACTGAGAACGAAAAATAACAGTAAAAACTGAAAAGGGGGGAAGGGGAAACTAATAATTAAAATTCCAAATATGAATTTAAAAAATTCCAAATATGCTTTAAAAAAAGCCTACAATTTTAAAAAGGGGTTATATAAGCTAAGTATAAAGAAAAATAGTAAGAGCATCATGTTTTTCTATTGAAAACTACATTAAAAGTTGTTCAACATAACTGATAACTGCTTCAGATCCCTAAAGAACAGTTCTCATAATCATCTACTGCCAAATATTTCTAAACAGCACTGATTTTGACTAATGAACTATACTAAGTCACATTTTCTTAGATGCTGAACTTTGAATTATGATAGCACAAGCTGTCAAATTAGCTTTTTTAAAAACGAATGCAAACTGAAACAATTTGGCTTCTGCCCAACTTTCACACTGTATTTATAATTTAGAAAATATTTCTGTAAGAGAATATGGCTCCAATTAGCAGATTTCCACTAAGGGTAGGGTCCACATTAAGTGTCAACATTATCTTTACCCTATCAATTGGGCAGGGCACAGACGTGCACAAGCTCTTGCAGGAACTCCTATAAATTGCCTACTGCCAAAAGACACACAAAAGGCAAGAAGTGAATGTGGGAAGATCATAGCAGCAGAAGTCAACCAATAGTCCTATGCCAAACAGGCATTATGCAAAATATTAATGAAAGAAGAATGATAAGTTTATATTTGTTGAGAAGAAGGCAGGCAACAGTGGTGGGATTAAGGGCTAATACCAAATTGAGTGGACATGAGTAGAAGCAGATAAAATACAATAAAAACTTACATCATCTAACATGGGAGGTTATATTAGGAAAGAGTTTAAAAGATATAATTGCATATGTTGCTATATTTCCTATATTATTCTATCATAACCACCCCTCCTCCAAAAAATAATCATCCCACGGTACATCTTTACTGTCAAATACTATACAGCAGCTAAAAAATAATGCAGCAAATCTCCATGCACCAACATGGAAATATTTCCAAGCCATACTGTTAAGTGAAGAAACAATAATCCCAGAATATTTAACATGATGCATTTTAAGTGTTCAAACAACAAAAATAAATAATAAAAGAAAGTCGTCCATGTACATACACATATGTAAATAAATTTTTAAAATAAGACTATGTACTAAACATTGTTGACCTTCAGAAGGACTAATGGGTGATTTTCACTCATATAACTCTATACTGCTTACAACTTTTTAAAAAATATAATATGAACAAACAGCCATGAATCAAAAACTATGATGAGAAATAAGGAAGCAACCTAGTTTAAGTTTCCATTACTGAGAATCTTACTAAAGAGGAGAAGACCTGGTAATTGTACATGTGTTTTTCAAAACAGGACTAAATTCAATTCAAGTAATCTGGAAAAATCAAGACAACTGGGCAGAAAAATGTCATTCATGTTCCTCTCACAAGCTGAATTAGGACATATTATAAGTATTAATTAGAAAACATTACCTTCCTTGAAGTATAAATGTCAAAAAATGGCTTATTTCTGACACTAAATGGTTCCTGTGTTTTGTCAATGAGACCGGTCTTCATTTTTTCATGTCGGGGATTTATTATTTCTCGTTCTATACACTGCAGACGAATATTAAAATCACAATCTCCAACCGGTTGTGCCTAAATTAAATGAGACAATTATTTAATTTCCAACTCTAAAAACTATTTTTTCAGCATAATTATCAAGGCTATCACATTGTATATAGCAGTCTATATAAATAGCATCCTATGGAGCTGCCCAACGCGCACAGCCTGCAAAACCATACGTGCCAGCCTTGAAAATATATGACTAATGATAGAAGCATACCTAAACACACACACACAGTTATTTACTTTAAAATTACAAATGCATAAAATAGTATGAGAAAGGGGTATAAATCTACTCATATAAACTGATCCAAAATTTTCAAATCTGAATTAAAGTATTAATATATGATTAATCATTTTTCTTATTTATATGAATTAGTAAAATTATATGAATTAGTAAAACTTGTATAAAAACTAAAATCCACATAATTCAGGAAAGTATAAGGAAATACTATATCAAAATAAGCAACATCGGCACCTATAATGTTTTTTTGTTTGAAATGCTAACACTGCAGGCATCAATAAGTAGAAGATATTAGACAAATACAGCCTCAACTCTGAAAATTAATATAGAACAATGTTTGCAAAATATATTTAATTATACAGTTATAAAGAACTCTTCTGCCCTCATATGGATATATGGTATATATGGGGTGTGTGTGTATAAAATATGTGGTTTAAACTATGAAATAAAAAGTGCATGTATGTTTTTGTATGAGTTGAGGGTAGGGGCTTTGCCCTATCCTAATGGCATATACAAATATTGCTTAACATCATCTAGATAACAGTACTGGTCCAGATTAGCAGCATCACCTCAGTGGTATCTCAAGTACCTCCCTTCTTTACTTTCCAACTGGACACCTTTCCACACATTTTTCCCATCTTTTCCTCTTCTTCCTCTTCTCTACTTTATATTACTCAGCTTAACGTTCACCCAAATTAATGTTTACAAGGGATGGCAGCACTTGCTTAAGCTGTGAACATTAACTATGCCTCGAGAATGACTTTTTCTCAACTTTGAAAGGCTCACAATTTTGAAAGTAAAGAAAAAAGAGCAGGAGAAAGTGAGCAAGAGCTAGGTATGTTCCCTTTACATAGAGCTATACATAACTTTATATAGGGTATTTATTGAGGAAATGCTAGTAAATAACCACACAGGCCATGTGTAATCTTTTCATGTCACCTGCGTCATCCAAAGGATGAAAAACCTAAAATGCTAGGTTTATTTATTAGGCCTATTACATTAATTCAGACCCCTATAAAATTAAAATGGAATTAGGAAGCCCTCTTTTTTAAAGAAAATAAAAAGTCTAATAACTGTTTAAAATGTATTAGTCTAAATTCCCTCCTAGATATATTTCACTTTAGAATATACATAAATTCACCAAAGCAAGAAAAGGCTGAAAGCAAGTTTACCTTCAAATCCACGCTGCCTATCATAAAGGAAGCTCTTGATAGACAGGTGTTGAATCATTCAGAATGGACTACAGAAACATTCAATAACTGTTGACTAATTGGTCTCCCTATTTTGAGTTCTTTCTCATTTCAAAACACTATGCATGCTACCACTGGAGTTATCTTTCAAAATAATAAAAATATGATCATAGCTTTATCATATCTAAACCTTTCAATAGCATCCTATTACAAACAGAATGAAGCTAAAATGTGTTATTCAAGTAAACTGGACCCCTACTCACCAATCTATTCTCATTTCCTGCTATGTCCCATATACTACCACACATCAAGTGCTAACAACCATCTGATGCTCCTGGTCAACAAGACTCAATTCTTCAAAATTAATCTGTGTCACTTTGTAAGTAATTCCACACTTCAACGACTCAACAATACCCAGAGTAAATTAGAATACTCTCACCTCTGCCTTACTTCTCATATATTTCTATATCTCTCATATACTTTTGTTGTTATACTTATAATATTACTGTTTCTTTACATTTATAGTCTCATCCATAAGACAAATTTTGTACCTAATCTAAACACAAATCTTAACAAATGTACCTATGTATATTAACTTTTAATAAATTGCATACATGTACAACTCTGTGCTATAAAAGATATAAAAACTGAATATATAAAAAATAAGCAGAAGTTCTGTTTTCTTCTCAAATCCCAATGAAGTGCTGTGGAAGTGGCCCTCTTTGGAGATCAGCACATTAAATTATGAATTCCTTGAAGGTAAGAAAACATGTCTTATTCATCTGTGTATACCCAATACCTCGAATAATACTTGACATATAAAAAATGGTCAATGAAAATTCTTGCTGGACAAAAGAATAAACTAAATAACTAAAACATTTTTAAATATTATTAAAAAAAATTTGTTTACAACAATGACCTTAATTTGGTGATTCAAAATAAACAAAGTGGTTAACCATGAATGAAGGTTCCACAGCAAATTAAAGAATATATGATGCTTTCAATTATAAATATTCTCTAATATCAGAAAGAATGACTTTAAAACCAATGAAATATAATAAAAGACACTCAATAAATACTTATTGAATGAACACTTGCAGACCTAGAGATGAAAAGTATAACTTAATCATTTTTACAGCAAAATATGGATGAATTTCCTAAACAAGACACAAATGCGCAAACTTTGCATTCTAATAAATTTAATTTCATTAAAATGAAAAATTTCTGTGGATCAATGGATACTAATTTAGAAAAGACACTGCTTGCCACATTTATAACCAAGAAAGAACTAAAATTCAGTAAAGACTTACTAATTCCTACACATTAAGAAGAAAAAAAAACTGGCAACCAAATAGAATTAAAAGATCATTTGAACCTGCAATTAAATCACAAAAGAAAAATCCAAAAGAGTAAAAATAAATGTGAAATATGCTTAACTTCATTAGTAATCAGGGAAAAGCAGATTAAAACAAGATGAGATATCATTTCACACATATCCAATTGACAAAAATTTGATATCTGATAATACCAACTGTGGTAAATTAATACAACTACTTTTGAAGGAATTTAGCAACGCAACTAATATAATAAAGCTGAAGTTGCCAATTTAATCAGAATCTCCATGCTGTAGGGATGAGGGACTAGACTTTTATAAACACTTTCCAGGTGATTACATCTCAAGAATGAGAACTGTCCCAGAGAAGCTGTGACACACGTGCACAAGAAAAAATGTATAAAACTGTTCAATATAACTGCAGTACAGCAGCAAAATATGGAAACTCAAATGATCGTCAAGAAGAAAAAAGATAAATTTCATATATTTATATAATATAATCATCAACAGTAATTAAAGTGAATGAACAAAACCTATATATTAATACAGATAAAACTCTACAAAAAATGTGAAGCAATGCTGGGTACCACAATACAGTACAATAACATTTATATAACACTAGAAACCTTGCAAAAGAACACCATATATATTTTATAGACACACACATTGGCAATAAAGGTCTCAAAAATACTCATGAGGATAGTAACACCAAAATCATGGTAGAAGTTGTTACCTCTGGGTAAGAATGTTAAGGATAGGATGACAGAGGTGTCCATAAGAAACTTCTAGATCTATAGTGATTTGTTTCTTATTAGTAAGAAAGTAGAGTAAAAATGACAAAGGTAAGTTTCAACAAATCTGGTGGTCAATACATAAGTATTCCTTATACTCTCTACACTTTTGTGCATGCTTAAATTTTTCATATTTTGTTAAAGAATTAGAAGGCTACTGTCTAAGACAAAGTTCCCAGGCTAAGAAGTAAACTTGCACTGAATACATTTTAAAGCAGAGCTCTGTATCAAGAGGCACAGTGCTCAATCACAAAGAAACAAGGCCACCCCCACCCTTTATGTCTCATTATAGGCCAATGAACATTATTCCAAGGTCTGTGACAAGAGTAAGTAAATTCTGGAAAGCATTACTTTTGAGAAATACAGTAGTCATAAAGAGAACAAAATTAAAACATGATGATTTCTGACCCTGAGTTTCTTATATTTGAAATTCTGTTTGAAATACAGAAATTCAACAAAAAGAGATAGATTGAAAATTTCCAGGAAAAAATGCCATTATGTAATCTGGATTAATATAATCATAGATCTGAATATTGCAGTTTAAATATATAAACCCCAAAAAACTTTTTAAAAATTTTGTTATACATCTTCAAACCTTAGACCTTAATACTTTTTATTCCAGAATTCTTAATTGCTTTCAGTCTGCTTAGAATACTAAATGATCATACAATCTGCATAATATATTTCTAGAGCAATGATTATACCTTTTCATAGATGTACACTATTGAGTTTCTCCCATTTACAGAATTCATCGCGTACTACTTAAATAATTTCGACATTCAATTAAACATTAACAGGAAAACAGATTCTTGTCTAGTCTAAAACTGTAGGATAGAGAATACAATTTCTCTTTTTGATATCTATTTACAATAGGGAATTTTATATTTTGTTTTTAAGTTTCCTGCTTGTGCTTAAGAATAATATATTTTTGCCTCAAAGTTACATATTCAACACTCGATCAGTTTCTCTCTTTTTTTTGAAGTGGTAAACAGTAATAAAATGGGAGGACTTATTTTTTTTTAAATCAAATACAGGATAACTAAAACCAAGAAGTTTCTATTTTACAATATACTATCTTGTTTTATCACAGTTAAACTGTTTTTCTTTACTCACTTGAAATATCTAAAGAATCTGAAGACAAAGAAATGTGCAAAATATTAGGCAATAAGAGAAAGAAAAGGAGATGTAAAAGTATTAACAAGATGTAAAAGTATTAACAATTTTTCTTTCCTATTATCTCTAAAGCAGTAACACTTTTTATTTGTTAAAAACATCTATTATCTCAGTGACATTTTTTACTTTATAAATTATAAAAAGAAAAAAATTATAAAAAGTACTTACATTAAATTTAATTATATCATAAATCAAATATCTAGGAACAGCTTGTCCATTTACTCTGTCAATAATCATTTCCTTGAAAGAGAAAATAAGATAAGTTTCTTCATTCTTTAATAGCAATTTAATTTGACTGAAATATAACACATAGAAAGCATATAAATCACAAATATACAAATTGATGAAATTTCAAAATGAACACACTTATACCTGGATCAAATCAATACTGTCAGCACCACAAAAGTCCCCATTATTGAAATAAAATCACACACTATCTCCTCGTTATATTTTTATATTTGAATTTCTATGCTATATTCTGTTTTATGTTTGAATTACTAAGTAACTATTATGATAAAAAGACAACAAATTTTAAATTCCAAATCACAGTTTTAAAAATAATTTTATCTTCTGGGTATCTACTCAAAAAAATTGAAAACATTTATCCTTAAAGATATATGCACCCTGATGTTCACTGCAGCATTATTCATGGTGCAGCATTATTCATGACTGGATAAAGATGTGGTATATACACAACGGAATATTACTCAGCCATAAGAAAAAATGAAATATTTCCATTTGTGATAATATGTGGATGGATCTTGAGATGATCATGCTAAGTGAAATAATTCAGACAGAAAAAGTTGAGAACCATATGATTTCGCTCATATGTGGGATATAAAACTGAAAGCACAAATGAACAAGACAAATAAACAGAGACTCACGGACACAGACAACAGTGGTTACTGGAGGGAAATGGCGTGGGGGAAGGTAGATGAGGGTCAAGGGGGTCAAATATATGGTGATGGAAGGAAATTTAACTTTGGGTGGTAAACACACAATGCAATATATGTATGACATACTATTGAAACCTATATGATTTTATTAACCAACGCCACCTCAAATTTAATTCTAAAAATTTTGTGAAATCAGTATTGCTTTAAAATGTCAAACCACTATGTTATGCATCTTGGTTCCATGTCCATCTACTATGATCAAAGAAAACAAACAAAAGAATATGATATCAGAGCCATTAAATGAAAAATATTTAAATTCTGCAGAAAAGAGATATAGACAAAAAGAGATATAGACAAAAAGATGATTACAGACATCACGTAATATTTTATAAAATTTTAATTCTTAATTACAGATTTGACCTAAAATTACTTTATTTTCCTCATATTCTTCCTAGGAAACTACAGAGGGTTTTTATCTCATTTCATGACACAAAATCCACACACAACCATCTAAAATTACAAAGAACACACTGATTTAGAACAAATATATTTTATCCTATTATCAATTAATTTCTTTCTCAAATATGGACTTGTTAAGCAATATACATTTATTTATGATTACTGTCTTGAACCTAACTCTTGAAACAATTTATATCACTTTCATTAAACTGTTTAATGAAATATTTTCATTTAAATACTTGTATCTGAGAATTTTATGAGCCAACAAGGTGGTATCAATAATAAATTTCAATTAATTATTCTTTTCAAAACTGAGTGGATGGAAATCAAGTGGCCCTCCAGGTTCAGATATTAAACATCACAGAATTTCCCTCCTAAATGAACAAAATGTATCTTTCTTTATTAAACAAAAGCAAAAAATAAGATTGTCAGCAAACAAAACAAATAAAAAGGAATAAACAAATGAGTAGGCTTTAAAAATAACAGCACAGAAACTGCCAAGATTCTGGTAAAATGAAAAAGCACAGCAAGTTTCAGCTCTAAGCCTACTAAACCCCCAGAAGCCCTACTTGTAAAATGGCACAAATTCTTGATGATTATCACTATTACATTCAAATATAGATAGACACAAACTCAGTGGTTTTTCTTGTCTTCTTTTTTTCCTGTTTTCTGTAATAAATAGCAGAA